TTAAATATTGGCACATTCTTGAAATCAATTGTTCTAAGATTTTTAAAACATATTGTAAAAACACATGGTCTTTGGGTTCTTATAAATTAACATCAAAAGTGATGTTTCCTGACACACAAAGGCAGGGAGACAATCCCTCTATTTATAGCCTTACTTTTGGCCATACCACCTTCTCCATAATTTGTCTGTATTTCTCAACTTCTGAGGTGAAAGATGAGGTTTGCCATCCTCCAAAATTCATTATAGACAATAATTTATATTAAAAATTAATGACTTTCAAAAAGCAAATAGAATTTCCAAGACCTTTTCTTTCACTGTTGGAGTAACAGATCTAAATTAACACTGTTGAATTTCTAGAAAAGTTCCACATAATTTCTTTTGGTTCCTATACTTGTCAGGAACAAATAGCAGATGTTTCCTAGTCTTGTTTGCTTCCTCTGGTCACACTTAGATCACACTTTGAATATCATTATTTTGTGCTTCAGGTATTTCCAACTGCTTAGAAATCCAACATTTAAATTTAGGATATTAGGTACGGGAATATATCAGCAGCTTAGCACCTGTCTTGCAAGTGAGAGGTCTTGAGTTTGATTCCTGGTACCAAAAACAAAACAAAACAAATTTAGGATATTATCGACCACTGTGCCTTTAATTCTTCAGTTTGGGTTCCTCCTGTGAATGGAACTGGTTCATCAGTCAACTTTCAACTCTAGGACTGGGGGGCTCCGCCTCTAGTATATGGTTCATTGCGATCATCATCTTCTTAAATCATTACAGTGACCTTGAAATAGGTCCGTCTTCCTCTATGTTTGTCCCTATCCCTAAGTGTATTCTCGACAAAGCAGTCAGAACGATCCTCCCAGAAAGAAAACAGATTCTCTGATCAAAATTTTCCCGTGCTTTCACCCTACTCAAAGAAAAAGGCAGAAGTTCCAGAGTGACCTACAAGACTATGATATGCCTGTAAACTAATCTCTTGGGCTGAAATAGCAGATGAGGAGAGTACATGGTCTTCCTCACACCACTTCCATATCTGTGGTCATGGACAGAAGCTATAAGCATCATGCTTGGTCTATTACCAATGTGACAGGTGTTCAAATGACTCAGTCTCCTCAATCAGAGGGAAAAAATATCAGTGCAGGTTCAGAACCAGAAAGTACCTAATAACACATGCATCATGCTCAGCTCTAACACAGACATGAAATCAGAGGCCAACTTTAAACTTGACAGAATTTGTAGAAAGTCTACATACCGTATAACTTTATCTAGCCACCTAAACATAATTAAATCAGAAAACCAGACACAAGTTTAGCTACATTTCTTCTCTGGCATTGGTATCCACTGTATGGTACTCTGATCAGTAAAGACCATCTATATAGTTAGCTATATGACACCCTTCTCAATTAATTTCCAAAACTTTTAACTTGATTAAAACAAAAATAATTACTCTTGATAAAACAATATCTCCTGGGTTTGAGTCAATATACGTTTTGTAATGATTTATCCTTATGTAATCTTACCCATTTACAAAAAAAAATACATATAAATGAATGTATAATGATTAGAATTTGTGTAAACTCTTACTAAAAATTGATAAATATTAAACATGTGCTATAACACTCTGTTATAATTTGCTTTCAAGCTAAATGCATTTATTTCATAGTCTGAGAATTATTACCGTTCTGCATTTGAAGACTACTGGAAGCCTAGAGTTAATTGACACAGAAAATGGATCTAACTCCCTCAGAAGGAATATTTTCTCTTTAAATGCAGAAAATGAGAGCTCGGTAGACACATATAACATTCACTGGCAACTAAAGGTGAAAATACTAGTGCTTGGAGAGGGATACATTTAAGAGTGACACAAACTGACAATAGTTCTTAGATCTTTTAATATACTGACTGCAAATTGAGTACATGTAAATCTTTTGTGACTTGGATGATTTCATTTATGCTATGATATAACAACTAGTTTATTTGACCCCAACTGATCAAAAGGAAAAGTTATTAAGACACTTCCTGTTGAATCCTAACACAGGTGACAGTGAGAAGCTGATGACACAAGGGCTGTAGGAAACAAGCCGCATCTGGAACTGGCCTTCAGAGGAGGCAAAGAACAGAGGTATCATGGAAACCCCAGGCCTCGGTATGAGTACCTTAGGATTGAGAGAAGAAAGTGCTGGCAACCCTTTTTACCAACAGCTATTGGGTTTCCATAGGCAACATTGTAGGAGTAGGTAGATAGCAAACGGAAGCATGTTCTGGCTGGGAAAAAAGAAGGCAGGAATTGTTTAGAAACTGATGCTTAAAATCTGTGTCATAAGCATACATATGGCATACATTTAGTGGAGTTAAGTTTAGGTTAGTGCAAATTCAAGTCACTGAAATTTGGGTATAGATAAGATCATATTCTATTTTATAGGCAGAGATGGGAGCCCAGGTGATACTTGTATTTTAAGAACTCATTGTTCTCAAATTACTATACTGAGGTATGATGGATATGAAGAACCGTAACTATATCTCGTAAAAAACTCTGAGTTTAAAGTTACATATTCATCCACGAAACCATCCCTATTGTCAAATCCTTATAAAATGGGAAAAATCATATCTGCTCAGAATTTTTATGAGGATAGCATTAGTTAATATGAATAAAACATGCAAAGAATGTCTAGAATTTACAGGTTTTTTCAAGTGATATTATTCAATCAGTCTTAACCATAAATTAGATACTTCTTCTATTTGCTCTAATAATTAATATTTCTGTTAATGATTCATATATGATCCTTATCATATCCTTCACAAAGAAGTACATTTTCTATCTTACACTTTTGGCAATGATGCTCACACTTGGATCAAGACCATGGACAAGGAATGCAACGTAAAACCACTTTTAAAAGAGACTTGGGTACTTGGCTATTCAGAAAAAATAATGACACTATCCAAAGAAAATTATGATCTTGATAAACCAGTAAGATGATGGGAACATTTGCAAAAGAAAGTGACAATAGTGAAATTGTTCCTGAGGAAAGATGATGAGCCGGTTTCAGGTTAAAGCCAAATTTCCAAACATCTAGGGTACCTCCTGTGGGTAACTTGAAGAAGTAGCTCTGTGCTTTAAGCACACCATGCCCGTGGAATCCAGCTGCAGAGCAGGTGTTATATCCTTATCTTTCTTCATCGGCAGCCACAAACTTGGAGGTCTAAGCACCTGCTTCAGTTTATGCTGACTCACATGCCCCACCTCTTTGGATCATTCATTAGGTGAAAGGTAGCAGAGAGGAGTGCTCCAAGGTCCTGGATTAATGATGGATATGGATGTCATGCATTTCTTAGCCCTGAACTAGCATATTCTGACTTTTACAACACTCTCCCTCCAAATACAAATGATATTTCAAAAGAAATATACCAAAAACCATGAATATCCCAGCCCTTTATTTTTCCAAATGAAATTTTTGTCATTTCTACTATCTTTGTGTTTACAGAATAGTACAGGTTTGCACTGTCCACAAATAACATTATCTTTTGGTTTTATTTCTTGGTAACATGGAAAAGCTATTTCAAACTAATAAAAAAAAATGGAAGGCTCAAGTTCCAAGCTTCCAACAAGAACAATATCAATGCAAACTAACAAAAAAAAAAAAAGTAAGGCTGATATTCCAAGGTTCCAAACAGAACAATATCAATGGACCAACTACATCTTTTAGTGACAGGAATCTTAGGGACACATTAGTACCTGGAAATCTATCAGATAAAGATTTGTGTAACTAGAAGCTCTTCTGGCAAGTCAAAGTTTAATAGTAAAATACACAAGTATTTTAAATCATCCACTATATCAGGCTGTAATCTAGACAACAGATACAACTGTGATCAAGCCAGAAGAAATCTAGGATGCCACAGTGCTTATATTTTGAAGGACATCAATAGGTATAAAACATAAAAGATGGAAGTACAGTTAAATTAAATACTCAAAAACTGTCAGACTAGAACATGACTGAGGAGTGTGTTACTTTACTTTGTCAAATCTGCAAAAGTCTTTAAGAAGTTGACACCTAAGCTGAGAAGAAGACTGACATAACTGAGGGACAGAAAGAAATCCAATGTCACAGAAGTACACAGTAGAGGAAATATTGGACATAAAATCATAGAAGTTAGCTTGAGTCAGATATGTGCTTCAAAAATTATTGTGAAAAAAGAGCTCCAGCTTTTTAAAGAAAGCTCCAACCATAGCAAAGTTCTCTCAAATGGAAAACATAAAACACACTTTCACTACACACTTGTGGCACTACTTAAAAATTCCCCTATGGAACTGTTCTTTTTGAGAGAGGGTTCACAGTCAACAATCAAAGGAAACTTGACTTTCATTTACTGCTCCAAAGGAACCCTTAAAACTCCCCCTTCTTCCTGGTTCTGGATGAGCTTTCTGAAAATGTCATGTGGAAGGTCACTTATTCTCAGCAGCACAAGGACACACTCAGTGCCTCGTTGATGAATAAAAGCAGTCATAAAATAAAAGAAAAAATAAAGTCTATAACATGATAATAATAAGCATAAACCAAAATAACAAAGAAAAATAAAGAAATAACCAAGCTAGAATTAACCAACTCTTTTTCTTCATTGCCTTTGCTCTGGCACTGTCCATTAAAATTGTACTCAAACCATATGATTGCTTACTAATTGCTCAGAATGTGAACTTCACTCCTGTATATGCCCATCGACAAAGACACACATAGAAAAACACACACAATCATGGGTGTAGGAATGCCTGTCCAAACCTGCCATTATAAGACAAGTGCTATCTCTATGTTATTATTTTATTAAATATCTGGGAAATCAATAAACCCTGTAATCACCATGGAGTCTGAGGCATACATGTGTCTCATATCTCTGTTGAGAGACAAGGAAGAAATGGACTATTTCAATAAGTGTAGAGTAAAATGGCACAGAGTTGTCAAAGAAGAAATGGACTAAGACAATGTATCTGTCAATAAACATATCTCAATCAGCATTTATTGAAAACCATTACATTCAGGCAAAAGCAGCAACAGAATTTGCTCCAGGGGATGGCAAAATGAAAACACCGTGTCCCTCTTTGGAAAATTACAAAGAAAGTACAAGATGGCAACGGAAGAGCATTAGTTACAGCTGGGTGCTTCAGAGCATGGGACGGTGAGTGCTTATACAGATACATACACATAAGTCCTATTTTCAAGCATCTGAGAGAAAGAAGAGGCAAAAACCTGAACAATGGCAATAGAGCAGAAGAAATGAAAGGGTTGAGGAATATAAATCTAAATTTGGGAGAAGGCAATGCCTTCAGCTAAGCAATCCAGGGACATGTCCATGTAGAAAGAACCATCTGAGGTTCAGCTTGAGGTATCAATGTTGATGAACACGGAATCAAAGTAGAAATAATATATCTGGAAGATTAAAAGTAAAAATTTGCAAATGGAACATCCATATCTTTGCAAATCAAGCTTTGTGAAAAATATTGTATCTGTCTTCGCAGACATGAATGATATTTAAGAAGCAGACAACAATTTCATGTGTAATACAAACTAATGTCACCAGAAATGGTTTAGGCTTCTTTTCCACTTCAAGATTCTGGTTTTGACCCATGATTCTTGTGACAAGCAGAGCTGATGGACTGAACTTCTAGGGCATCCGATGTTGTCTTTTGAGGGAAAAGCGAGGCTGGATATACAGGAAGAGAGGACATTCCGATTTGAGCTATGGGAAAGAGAAAGATCTTAATTTCAAAAGATGGAGAATAGGGGGAAAGGGGGAAGGCAAACAAAAAATACAGGATATAAGGAAAGTTGATAGAGGTTAAAGAAACAAGCAACAAGAAAAGGCATACCTCTGCATTTTGCACCATGAGGCCAGGAAAACAAGCATGACCAGGGTGACGGTTACACTCAGATACATCAGCGTCAAGAGAAGGGAGTATTCACCTGCTTGGAGTAAAATAAACACATCAATCCATGAAACACTCTTATCACATTACACCGAGGCATCTAATGTTGCAGGGCAATGCGGGTCTTGGAAATTTCAGGAGAATTCTCTAGAGCTTTCATTTCAGTTCCATTGAATCACTGTTCCTCCTCCACCCCAACCTTCTTCCAGCAATTCATGAGATCCCTTTTTTCCTCTTTAGTCCCTTTAATTCCCTACTTTCTTTTCCTTCATATTTATCTGCTGCCATTCTCTACTCTTCTTTCTTTCAGTTCTCCCATTTTTAACTTTCCTGCATCTAGCGTTCATACCAATTTCCCCAGCTCCTCGTCCTAAACCCCTAGGTCCATCCTTGACAATTCCCAACTTAACCCTCATTCTTTCTCACCCCAGTGGATGATTATATCATGGCCTCCCAGACTGCTGTGCTTCACTCGGCAAGACAGCCCAGCGGCCTCCTCAGCCGCCACATCCAGACTTGCTTGGAGATACCATGTCTCATCAGCATTGGGCAGGACGTCCCCTCTCTTAGTGCCCTTCTGCTCCTGCTCACCCCGCATCCACATCACCCACACTGGCTTGGGGTGGAAGCCAGAGACGTGGCACAGCAGCTGCAGACGGCCAGGCCCAGGGCTGGGGCCTCTGGAGAGCCAGGCCTCAGGCTTCACTAAATAGGAGAAGATAAGAAGAAATGGAACTTTGATGAGCACCTCTGACCAGAGCACATGTGCTCAGGTGGCTTAGCAGTTTCAGGAATCACTTCTTTCTCTTTTTGAAAACAATACAACAAACATTATTCCCTCCATCCTCTCATTGTATGTTTCAAAATGATGAAGGAAAGTACTAAACTCAAAAATTCAAAGTACTAGAGGTAGGAGGGAAGAAAGGACTGGGCTCACCTCGCTGTTCCAGCTCTGACTTCCCTGCTGCCATGAGGCCTGCCAGAAATCGAGGGCAGTTACTGAGAAGGTACTGCCTTAACTTCCGGCAGAAGGTACCTCCTTAACTTCCCGGTAGCAATTGAGCTTCTCACAGACTTTCTGGGCTCGACTTCCAGCTCCTAGAGATGGATTCCAAGCACCTCCTTGGAAACTCATGAAATCAGATCCTTGGTATGCAGCATTTAAGAAGCTGTCCGAGGCCTGCCCACCATGCCAATTACATCCAATTGACATCTGAAATTCAAAGGGGTCTGCAGTGGACAGAAAAGAGAATCAATATGGAAAGAATGACATGGGAACATACATCCAATCTGGAGCATAACAGCTTGGGGGCAGCAGTGTGCTGCGGAATTACATGGGGGTGAGACTTGGCATGGAAAATGGGAAGGAAATTTGTAAGAAGTCATTCTGAAATTAAAAGTAATTTGAAATAATTAAGAGGATGCATAGATGGGCAGGCTGTCAGGCAGACAAGAGACTGGTCTCTAATAACTCATACAACAGAGATGATGTCCAGGTTGTGGCATAAGAACACTCAAGCTATGGAGAAAGCAGAAGATGACATTGTGCCCACAGGTAGGATGGATGTGCACACTCAGGTGTGCTATATGTATAATGGTGGATAATGAAGCAGAGGAGGTTGTGTGAGCCAAAGGGAGACAGAGAATAAAGCCAGGAAGGTGGAGGATGGTCAGAGGCTCTACACCAGCTCGTACTCTGAAGATGGCCAGAGACCTCAGACAGAACATCATTTGGGAATACCACACTCACATTCAAGCTGAAACTGATGAGCAAAATTGTGCACTTCCAGGGGGAAGCCATGGAAGTATAGCTGGAAAAGTGCCTGGAGGTTCTTCAACTCCTCCTTACTAAGGTTTCCTTGGGACCAGGGCTTCAGAAACGTGATGGTATCTGTGGTATCATTCCAGCCTTGAGTCTGCAGATCACCTAGCCAGGCTGAGCCGTGGGATTCTACCCAGGTGTTGTTTTTGAAGGAGGCAATGTAGAGCACACAGAAGATGAGGGGCTCTTCTGCTTCTGCTGGATGGTGCAATCCTAAAGCCTGGGGGGCTGAAACAGAGAGTGACTAGATGAGAGAGTGTAAGGGATGGCAGAAGAGATTCCACAGAATGCAGAGGAGTTCAGAGTGAAGAGCAAGAAAGGATATAGTTACAGGTTTCACATGTCCCAATGAGTCCTAAACCCTGGCCCAGTTTTCTTGCCACCAACTTAGACTGGAGGCCACAATTTTCAACCTGTAAACCAGCCTGGAATGCACACAACAAGAGCATCTAACAGAAGCTTTGTTCCCTTCATCCAGTTCCTCCCCAAAACTTCCTCTCCTGTGTGCCCAGACACAGACATCTCTCCACCTGAGCACTTCTTACCTGCTGTGCTTTCCCCATGGCAGACAAGTCCCTTGAAGAATAGGAGGATGAGGAGCAGCATTGAAGCTTTGGTAAGTTAGCCAGAAAACTGCCTTCTCAACTCAGATATCTGCTGTCCTTCCCTCACCCACTCACACTCTCGTCTGTCTTCCTCTGCTGCACAGACTAACCTCTCCTCTGCGCACTTCCCTACTAGAGAAGTCTCGCTGCCTCCCACAGCTGCCTTCTCCCACAGGTTCTCTCATTTCTCCTCCTGTCTCCCACTAGTGGCTTCCAGATTGTCTCCCTGCTCTTAGCTACATTGTCCCAGCCTTGCCTATTATACCACCTGCTGCTAAAAGATTTCTCAATTTGGACAAAGTCTGCCTGCCATCCGACAGAAAAAGTCAGCTGTTTTTGGCCTTCAAGAAATCAAGTCCACACTTGGGTTGTCAGTATCTCATCTATTAAAGAAAGTGGTGGAAGTTATCTGATGGTGCCCAGTAACCCTTCTGGCAGTTTCCCTGCTACTTACTTGTCCGTGCTCTTTTCCTCCTGTCTGCCAACTGAAACCCCATAATCCTTCTTCTTGGTCCTCTTGGTCCTTCTTCTGACGGGTTGTTAGTGCCTCTGAGTCTGTTTTGATCTTCTCACACACTCTGCCTGGACTCTGTGTCCCTGAGTCTCTCCTACCTCCCTTCATTCTGCTCTTCTCAGAGTCATTGTCAGAAGACACGAGGGTCCCAATAGGTACTTGTGCACTTCATAGACAAATCTCTATGCTCCACAGTGGAAAAGAAGCAACAATAACAAATTAATGCATGTTATCAAATTATCCTTTCCTCAGGTTCACTAGTCAAGCTGTGGGTCACTGTTAAGAATGTCTATGAGTGGGCTTGACCTCGAGGTGATGAACTCCTGGGAAGGCAGATTTTAACCCATTGTATAGGGGTATCCTGGGGATGGGATACCTGATCAAAATTTTTCTGTGGTTTCATCCTACTCAAAGAAAAAGCATAAGTTCCAGAATGACCTCCGAGACTATGGTATTCCTATAAATTAATCTCCTGGATTGAATTTGCAGATGAGAAGAGTATATGGGTATTCCTCACACTACTTCCATGCCTATGTTTGTGGACACATGCTATTAGCATCATGGTTGGCCTATCACCAATATGACAGATATTCAAATGACATCTACTGGCTTCATCCAGAGACCAAAAACCTCAGTGCAGTTTCAGATCCAGAGAGTACCTACAAACCCATGCCTGAAGCTTAGCTTTAACATAGACATGAAATCAGAGGCCAGCTTTAAACTTGACAAGACATGTAGAAAGTCTATATACCATGTAACTTTATCTATCCACCTAATCATAGTTAAATCAGAAAATTGTATGATACACATTTTGCTTGTTTTCCTCACTAGCATTGGTATCTACAATGTGGCACTCTGATCAATAAGGACTATCTGTGTAGTTAACTATACGACACCCTTCTCAATTAATTTTTAAAACTTTTAACTTGATTAAAACAAAGGTAATTATTGCTGATAAAAAATGCCTCCTAGGTTTCAGTCATTGTACATTTTGTAATGATTTCTCCCTGTTTAATTTTGCCTGGTTACACCAAAAAAAGAATGTATAACTATTAGAATGTTGTGTAAAGTCCTACTAAAATTGATAAATATTAAACATGTACTATAACATTCTGATATAATTTGCTTTGAAGAGGTGCCCACTGGAGATTGTACTACCCTCTGAAGCAAAGGCCCCACAGTTCAGACCCATCCTACCAGTTAGTCCAGCAAGAATGAAAGGCCCCAGAGCACACTTTGCCCACTCCCTCTGGTCGGATGATCATCTCTATTGAAGAACCCTGAGTAATAATGATTAAGGAGGGAAAAGAAACCAGCCTATTGCTGGACACTGGCACAAGTCTCTTGGTCCTTCTTTTCAATCCTGGCCTTCCTTCCAGCCGTCATACCTCAGTGAAAGGAGTCACTGGAGAGGAGGTAATTCACTATTTTTCACAATCCTTAGGCTGTACCTGGGATAGTTTTCTTTTTACACATTGCTTTTTAATTATGCCTGAAAGTCTAGTCCCTCTCTTGGGGAGAGATATTTCATCTTGTTTAAATACTGTAGTGTGTATGCACTCAGATTAGTTACTCTCTTCATCTCATGGAGACAGAAATAAATCCTGATGTATGGGCAACTAAAGGCAAAATTGGTAGGGTATTAAGAGCTGCTCCAGTACAGATATATCTCAGAGATTCTACTGTTTTCCTAACCACAGATAGTATCCTTTAAAACCTGAAGTTAAAAATAGGATTGTTACCTATAATTGATAACCTAAGGGCACAAGGCTTACTTGAGCCCTGTAACAGCCCATGCAATACTCCAATCTTGGGAATTCAAAACCCCAGAATGGAGATTAATGGGGAATGGAGATTAATACAGGACCTTAGATTGATAAATTTGGCTGTAGTGCTGTTACGGTTTATGTCTATGTGTCCCCCCAATGCCTCATGCGGACATGGGGCAGGCTTTTAGAGTTTGAATATGGGTGTGAAAGCTGCACCAGCCCTGGAGTGGATAGTTTGCATATGTAAGGGAGAGGAAGAAGCTGCTTGGGGGCATTCCTCCCCCATTCCTCCCTGGTGTGTGGTTGTTGCTTAGCTGTGTTCTGCCGCCCTGAGTGGGAGCTTTTTGCCATGTGCCACTCTGCCTTATAATCTGCCAAGTACGGATTGAAACTTCCACGAACTGTAAGCGAAATAAACCTTTCCTTCCTTAATTTGGGGTGTCAGATATTTTGTCCCAGCAATGAGAGAAAAGTAACCAAGACAAGAGCCAATTCACCCAATGGTACCTAACCCATGTACACTTCCTTCCCAAATTCCAGAAGATGTCAGTTGGTTTTAAGTGTTAGATTTAAAAGATGCCTTCTTTTGTATTCCTTTAATACAGATTATGTTTCTCTTTGCTTTTGAAAATCTTCATGACCAGGCCTCTCAATTGACATGCGCAGTGCTTCCCCAAGGGTTCAGGGATAGTCCACATCTTTTGGGGAAAGTGTTTTCCCATGATTTGGCATGCTTTGAGTTTTCCCAGGTCATAGTCTTATAGTATGTAGATGACATTCTTTTATGTGCCCCTGCAGAACAGCTCTGTAGCCAAGACACCTGTCCTTTGCCAAATTTTCTAGCAGACAGAGGTTATAAGGTCTCTAAATCTGAAGGACAACTTTGCAGTCTTGAGGTAAAATATTTAGGCCTCATCATATCCTAGGGAGCCTGCAGGCTAGGAAAATACAGAATTAAACCAATTCTTTCCTTGCCAAGGCCAAGACCCTAAAATAGCTAGGGGGATTCCTAGAAAGGCTATTGTTGCCTTTGGATACCAGGATATGGGGAGATTGCAAGACCCCTCTATCAACTTATAAGAGATGCCCAAAAGACAGATAACCATATCTGAACCTGGAAACCTGATTTCCAAACTGTGTTCCAGAAGCTGAAACAAGATCTTCTAAATACCCCAACCCTAAGCCTCCCCACAGGACACCATTTCAATTTATATGTTAATGAGAGATGAGGTATGGCTTTGGGAGTTCTTACATAAGATCAGGGACCCAATCAGCAGCCTATATGGTATCTGAGTCATGAATTAGACATTGTAGCAAAAGGATGGCATTCTTGCCTTAGAGCTATGTCAGCTGTAGCTCTTCTAGTGCTAGAAGCATCCAAGCTAACTTTAAGTAAAGCTCTCACTGTATATAGGCCTCACAATGTGTCAAGACTTCTTTCTTCCAAAGGGATCAATACCAGGCTCTACTTCTAGAAGGACCAGCCATTCAAATAAAGACATGCTCCTCCTTAAACTCTGCTACCTTTTTGCCAGAAAAGGAGGAAATTGATACTGACAGATATGACTGCAAACAGGTAATTCTCCATACATATGCAGCTGGAGAAGACTTATTAGACACACCCATTCCTGATTCTGATTTGACCCTTTTCCATGATGGAAGCTCCTTCATGGAAAATGGGACAAAGAAAGCAGGATATGCAGTGGTAACTTTACATCAGACTCTTGAAAGTAACTCACACCTTGGACTAGTGCTCAGCTAGCAGATCTCATAGCTCTGACCCTATCCTGTTTATTGGTATCCATTACCAGCTCCTCTTGGTGTAAATCTTTGCTGACTATACTCATAATAATCCTGCTGATCTTATTATTTGGCCCATGTATACTTAATTGTTTCTTTGGCTTTGTCTCCTCCAGGTTTAAAGCTATATGCCTACCCAAGATGAAAATGCCTGACAGCCTTTAAATAGATCCTCTGAAGAGTATATCTGACTGCCAATCAACAACTATGACCCCTTTCAGCCTAAAAAGCCAGAGTGGTCATCACCCACTATTCCCTCACAGCAGTTTGGGTTACTTCTTTAGAGGGGGGAAAGTTATAGGCAGCTGAGTTTGATAGAAATATTATAGGCAGTCAGACAGGGCCAGGCCCTGGAAGGGGCCAATATGGAAGACAAGATACCTTGCAAATGGAGACGTACTTGCTGCAGGCCAGACCTCAAGATAAAAGATTAAACAAGTGTACTCACATACCTCCCTAGGGATGGACATCAGGGATTGATATGATAAATAAGTAGCAATCACCTTGAAGAGTCACTGACCCAAGCCTTTACAGGAAAAGCCTCTATTCTGCATTCATGCCCACTTCCTACCTGGCTCACTTCCCCATTTGATCCCAACTAAATCAATTTTACCTGAACAATTATACTTGTAATCTTATTTGCTGAGCATAGCTTTGTCCCACCTCTTGTGATTTCCCATTTTTCCCCTCAACCTTGGACACACCTCACCTCCTGGTTTTGCTCTGTAGAAATCCTTAGAAAAGATGGGTTCCTTGGGCAACCCACTCAGACCCCCCTTCTGTCCCTCTCTTGGACAGAAACTTTCTTTCCCTCAATAAATATGTTCTGCTGTTAAAAAAATTTTTTTAAAAATTTGCTTTGAAGCTAAATGCATTTCTTTCATAGTTTGAGAATTATCATTGTTCTGTATTTGAAGAGTACCAGAAGCCTAGAGTTTATTGACACAGAAAATGGAACTAACTCCCTCAGAAGGAGTATTTTCCCTTTAAATGTAGAGGATGAATGCTGGGTACACACATATGACATTCACTGGCAACCAAAGTGAAACTACTAGTATTTGGAGAGGGATATATTTAAGAGTGACACAAACTGACAATATTTCTTAGGTCTTTTAATATATTGACTGCAAATTGGTATATGTAAATCCTTTGTGACTTAGATGATTTCATTGACTGCTATGTTATAACAATTGGTTAATTTGACCAGCCAACTGACCAAAAGGAAAAGTTATAAGGACACTTCCTGTTGAATCCTAATACAGGTGAGAGTGAGAAGCTGATGACACAAAGGCTGTAGGAAACAAGCGGCATCTGGACTTGGCCATCAGAGGAGGCAAACAGCAGAGGTATAATTGATGTCTGAGGCCCCTGTATGAGTACCTTAGGATGGAGAGAAAAGGTGCTGGCAACCGTTTTTACCAGCAGCTATTAGGCTTCCATAGGTAACACTGTAGGAGTAGATGGAAGCATGTTCTGGCTGGGAAAAAGGAAGGCAGGAATTGTTTAGAAACTGATGCTAAAATCTGAGTCATGAGCACAGGTGAGGCACATATTTGCTGGAACTAAGATTATAGTAGTGCAAATTTAAGTCACTGAAATTTGGGTATAGATACAATCATACCATACTTTGTAGGCACAGATGTGAGCATGGGTGACACTTATGTTTTAAGAACTTGCTGTTTTAAAATTTCTATCCTGAGGTATGATTGATATGAAGATCCATGAGTATATCTTGTACAAAACTCTATGAGTTCAAAAATACATTTTCATCCATGAAACCACCCCATTATCAAGCCTTGTAAAATGGAATAATAATATCTGCTCAGAATTTTTATGAGGATAACATTAGTTAATATGAATAAAGCATGCAAAGATTGTCTAGAATTTACAGGTTCTTTTCAAATGATATTATTCAATCAGTCTTAGCCATAAATTAGATACTTCCTTTATTTGCTCTAATAATTAATAATTGTGTTAATGATTAATATATGATCCTTATCATATCCTTCACAAAAGAGTACATTTTCTATTTTACATGTTTGGCAATGATGCTCACACCTAGATCAAGACCATGGAGAAGGAATGCAATGTAAAATAACTTTTGAAAGAGACTTGGGTGTTCGCTTATTCAGAAAGAATAATGACATTATCCAAAAAACATTTTTATCTCAATAAGCAGATAGATGGTGGGAACAATTTTGAAAAAAAGTGACAATAGTAAAATAGTATATGAGAAAAGATGATGAGCTGGTTTCAGGTTAAAGCCAAATTTCCAACCAGCTAGGGTAGGTTCCGTGGGTGACCTGAACAGGCAGCTCTGTGTTTTAAGCACTAGCCCTTGGAACCCAGTTACAGAGCAGGTGTCATATGCTTATCTTTCTTCATCTACAGGCAGTGAACTTGGAGGTCTAAGCACCTGCTTCAGTTTATTCTGATTCACATATTCTACCAACTTGGGTCACCTCATTCAATAAATGTAAGATAGCAGAGAGTAGTTCTCCAAGAGCCTGTAAGTAAGGGCCTGGATCCCACAGAAATGTCTTTCATGAGTCCAGCTGAAGACCTAGAGCTCATAACAGTGCTCCTATGAATCCACCTGGAGGCCCAGAGCCCAGAACATATCTCATGCAGTTCTGTTTCATGGATCTGCACTGGGAAGACTCAAAGGTCAGTGGTGGGATATAGGAAGTCTATGACAGCAGGCTAAGGGGTCTATGATGGAGTCAGGAAGCAAAGTGCAAAGTAAGAATCAGAGATCCTCTGAAAAGTACCACAGCCATCCTCAGCAACAGTGAGGTCCTGAGCTCCTCCTCTGATCAAGGTGGCTGAGTTCCCATCAGGAAAGCCAATGCAGCAAGCTTCTCCAGAAGA